CACAAAGAGGGGCGTTACTTAACAAACACACCTGATTGGACGAGCACAAAGAGGGGCGTTACTTAACAAACACACCTGATTGGACGAGCACAAAGGGGGCGTTACTTAACAAACACACCTGACTGGATGATCATTGCTTCAGCGTTTCTTTACACAAAGGGCTAATAGCTTACTTTGGAAACAGACCCTTTAGAAGTTCCTATTGGAAATATTTATCCCTCACCAGTTATTTGACCCTAAAATTAACCCCTTGATTCTATGATTTGGCCCTTCCCACCTTAATATTAACCCCTATGCCTCAGTTTCGGCTGCTAAAATTAATGTGAAAGTAGTTAAAGTCAGAAGTGAAAGAAAAACAAAAGAGGACAACCACTCAGTGTTTATACTGTACTTAGAAACACCTAATTGAACCGTTTTGTTCAGCAGCCACATAATTCGTTAAATAAGATCCACCTGTGAGAGATACAAGTGTATATAAACACAACCACAGACTTCTGACCAATCACAGTGTATTCTCATGTGGAGGGCTGAGAAGTTGGGACCGGTGAGAGGAAGACTCGAAGCTGAGAACAAAATAATTATCATCACTCAGATGCAGCAATCTGACCTGATACAGCAGTGTGGATGGAACATACTGGGTGTTTTACAGACCGGCTGCACCTGTTCATCCTTTGGTTTTCACCTCTCTGACCGCTCTGTATCTGCTGGAAATGTGTTTTTGCAGAATTGCTTTGACGAAGCAGAACTTCACTCTGAAGTACGACACCAACATTCCTCGGCAAGTGGTGAGAATTCATTACGATGTAAAATAAAAACAAATCAAAACGGTATGAGTTTAAACATGTTTTTCTGTGTTTTTTTTAGGGCCTTGCTGGAAGCAGGTAAAATGTTATTTTATTTGTGTTTCTGTACTGTAGCACCTAAATATAGAATTTGAACATTTTGATTGACTTGATGATCTTCTCTCCACAGTGCCATTATTTCAGCTACTCTGAAGTGTCTTATGAAATTCTACAAGATCACAGACAATGTAAGACTGTTAGATCTGTGACTCGTTGTGTTTTTAAAGCCAGCAGAGCAGACTAATCAGTGTGCATTGCCAATGCAATGCACATTATTGTGATTCGTTTCCCATCCAAGTCATCTCCACTTTGACATGCTTCTCCTCCAGCATACTTTGTCCTAAAGCTGCCATTGTAATTTAAATCTGTAAAGCTCCTGTGCCAAATGATTGCTGTGCCTTTTGGTGCCTGTACAACCTATAGTTTTTGAAATATTAATGTTTAAAATCAAATAATGGGAGTCAATGGAGCCTTGTATTGGTGTAATACTGCCCCATGCTATATCTACTTAGTACTGCACTATAGTTTAATACTATTTAAACTCAGTAGTTCATTGTTTACAATACAAACATGATTGTATTTTGATATTTCACTGTAATATTGTCCTCATATTCCTTTATTGTTGTAATATATTGCAGTTTAGTGTCAACAATTGCATTGGCAATATGGCCTCTTTCAGCACACATACAAACCTAACACTGGGAGGACTGACCAGTTGACTACAACAGCTCCTGTAGTCTCATGGTGAACACTATGGGCTTTCATGTGGGAGATCAGGGTTCAATCCCAGCCATAAACAAAAATTTCATTAAAACTACATGTCATATTCTCACACAATTACCCTCATTACAAACAACTGCTGATTTTTGGCAGGCACAAGCTGGTACTTGATTAACAAACACATTTCAACTTGGTCATAGTTCAAGTTGCAGGCAAAGGCATGCTGAAATGGCATGTTACATGGCAATGCACACTTGTCTTTACATCGTAAAAACCCATGTCTAGTTCTTGTTTTGTCACCCTATCACTCTAACTGTTTCCATTATGCTGTAAAGGATCTTCCTAAACCAGTTCGAGCCAACTTCATCCTCAGTGTGGAGACTGATGAGCTGTTCATCACTGCTGGCCTGCAGGACAGAGTTGTGCAGGTAAAATATAGCAGCAGACTTACACTGGCTTTGTTCACACTCAGGCCTGTGTATTGGCAAGAATTTGGCGATACGATACATATCATGACAGAGGGGTCACGATACGATATATCCCGATATATTGCGATACTGTAAACAAGGCGATATATTGCAAGTTTTTGGTCCAAAAATTATATTAAATAAAAACCTCTTAATGGAAAAAAAATGAAAAACCAAAATTCATTGTCTCAGAAAATTCTAATATTACAGACATACTTTTGATACATTTAGATGTGTTCTGCTTTGTATATTTTGTTTCATATTTCATCCATGTTTTCAATTTGACTAAATTTGCCAATAAATAGTTTGAAAATACATTTTTTTGCAGCTTTTAGTTTTTAATATTAATTTACAATATGTTCACCCAACACTTAACAATAGTCTTTATGTTGTCATAAAGTTCAGTAAACAGATGATATGAAGCTGCTGCACACAGAGTTTCTGGGATCAGCTGACCTGCATCCAGAACCTGATTTGTAGAACTGTGGGTCGAACAGCAGGGCAGGTCCTGAAGATAAACAGTAAATAAATGGAGAAGATAAACAACAACAACACAGTTAAACTGTTTTTGAAGCAAACAGCAGGATAAACTTAAAGTATATGGACTTTGATGTGATCAGCCGGAGATCATTGAGAGAAACAGACTCGAGGTGATAGACGCATGCGCTATATGTGAAAGCTGACTACAGTTGGAAAAAAGAGCGCACAAGACACTTAATTTGTCTTAAAATACAGACATTCGGACAAATAAGTAACNCTGCCAGGAGACGTAGGGAAATAAACGCAATGTTAAACTACGCAGCAGAAAGGCACGCAGGGCTAACATCCGGGACCAGGCAGGAAAGCGGAAACATCTGAACGTCACGTGAGGTAAATATGCGCTACGTCAGAATTTATTCGACAAGCGTGTTTACATCTCCCGTTTTGCGCATTAACTACTTTGCGAATCATCCAAAAACCACCTCAAGRGAGCGTAAAAACTTTTTACCGAATTGAGGATTTTTTTTCGAATTTTGCTGTTTCCATCCAACTTTTTTTCGCATTTTTAATGCGACACTTCTAAATGCGCATCAAAAAACCTTGATGGAAACACGGTTATTGTGAAAGTCAGTGAATGTTACTTTTATTGACCAAGCACAGGGGAAAAAAAGTATGGAATCACTCAATTCTGAGGAAAAAAGTATGGAATCACTCAAATTGGAGGAAAAAAGTATGGAATCGTGAAAACAAACAAAAGTCCATTCAAAATACATCACTAGTATTTAGTTGCACCACCTTTGGCTTTTATGACAGCTTGCAGTCTCTGAGGCATGGACTTGATGAGTGACAAACAGTATTCTTCATCAATTTGGTGTCAACTCTCTTTGATAGCAGTTACCAGATCAGCTTTGCAGGTCGGAGCTTCTTCTGGACCAGTTTTTTTTTTCAGTTTCCACCACAGGTTTTCAATTGGGTTGAGATCTGGACTATTTGCAGGCCATGACATC